GACAGAGGGAGAAGACAGTCGCCTGCAAGCCAAGGAGAGAGACCTCAGGAGAAACCAATCCTGCTGGCACCTTGATCTTGGACTTCCAGCCATCAGTACTGTGAGCAACTACATTTCTGTTGTTTAAGCCACCCAGTCGGTGGTACTTGGTTATAGCAGCCCCAGCAAACTAATATCCTTAACATTCCTTTATTCTCAACTCACCTCTCCAAAGTTCTTTTTTGTGTAGGGAGTTTAGAAAAGCTAGAGCTCTTTCCCTTTCCTTGCTGAACAACTCAGCCCTAAAGCCATTCAATTAGGTGGAGCAGAACAAGATGGGCCCTGCACAGGGGTGGGGCAGTGGAAGGGGAAGGCAGGGTGTCAGTGCTCAAGCAGATCAGGGGGCTGGGAGGCTGGGACACACGAGAGGAATCATCAAATAAGTAAATGCATGAAGGATATTGGAACTCCACCGTCGGAGAAGCAACTTAGAAATATAGTAAGTGTACTGGGCAGGCACGTAAATCATATTTATTATGAGTGAGACCCCTGGGCTTCGAGACCCTTCACGATGTACCTGCACGTACTTCTCTCCAACCTCATCTCTGAGCTCCACTCACACTGCCTTCTTTGCAGTCTGCTCTTTTTCAACCCCAGGGCTTTAGCACATGCTTTCCCTCTGCCTGGACCCCTCCCACCACATCCGAAACTGGCTAACTCCTACCCACCCTCCAGGTCTCAGTCTAAGAGTCACTTTCTCTGTGAGGCCTCCTGCTATAGACTGACTGTGTTCCTCCAAAACTCCTGTGTTAAAGTCCTAATCCCCACAGGTGGGGCCTCTGGGAGACATGAGTTCATGCAGCTAGAACTCTCCTGAAGAGATTAGTGTACTTTATAAAGGAAGCCCCAGAGAGCTTCCTCTGGCCCTTTCCACCAGGTGAGGACACAACAAGAGGATGGTTATCCATGAACCAGGAACTGGGCCTGCACCAGACATCGAATCTGCTGGTGTCCTGATCTTGGATTTCCCAGCCTCCAGAATTGTGAGAAATAAATGCTTACTGTTTAAGCCACCCAGTCTATGGTAATTTGTTATAAAAACTAGACTGACTTCCCAACCTAAACTACTTCTCCCTGTTATTCTCTCTCAGAGCATCCCGTTCTCTTTCTTGACACACATCCCACCATAGCTAACTATGTATTTGCATTTGTTTGTTTGATGGCCACCTCCCCAATGAGACTGAGAGTCCAGCAGGACCTGGGTCGGCCTCGCTCCCTGTTCCCAGAGCCCAGCAGAGTGCCTGGCCCTGTGGAGACCCTCCGGACACTGCGGATGAAGAAGCGAAGGGATGAATGACTTTAAATCAACATGGCAGACTGAATGACAGCAACTAAACTTTGACCTTCCCAGAGAATCATGCCTTTGGTTTTAACAGTTGGGATGACAGGGACTCAGTCCATTGTTGGCTCCTAGGAAGGTCTTAAACCCACCAAAGCCAGAGGCATCTCTAGTCAAAAAGTGAGCCTCTGCTACATAAGCAATAAGTCACTTGCAGCAGGGTGGGAGGGAAGATGAGCTTGTTTGCAAGGATCTTGGAAAGAACAGTATAAAGGCCTACATCTCCGAGCTGCTCAGGATTTGGGGAATTCTGAGGAAGCACCACATACAGGAATGGAAGGAAAACATGGAAGCACAGTAGGCACCTGTGTGAGAACTGCTTTGGGAGCTTTAACTCAGGGTATCTTGGCTTCAGGGCAATTGTCCACATTACCTTCAGTGTTCTACTAGCACTGGGTCATTGTCAATATTTCTCACCTCCCAGGAGCACTAGGCCATTTTTTCCCAAGAAAAAAAAACAAATTTAAAGTTATTTGTGAGTCTGGGAGGGGGCAGAATGAGTGTATATGCTAAGTTTATGCATTTCAGATTTCTTACTAAAGGTAATGTAATAAACAGAAAAGGATAAATTCATAAGTGTGTGGCACAGTGAGAATAACTAAGTATGGGGAAAGAAAAATTAACTTTTATGGGAAAGCAGGATGCTGCTACACAAAACTGTTAAAAGCATGGTCAAGAAGCTCTTTGGGGGCCGGCCAAGAGGCGCGTTGGTTAAGAGCTGGCTTGGGACGCCAGAGGGCCCCGGTTCGGATCCCACATATGAGGGCCAGTGACACGGCCCTTTACAGCTAAGATGCTGAACAACAGCTCAATCTGGAGCTGGGCTGCAGTGAGTTGCCGGCGACGGTGTAGGCTGCAGCCCCTGCTGCAGTGGGTTGCCATGGGCTACCGTATGTAGCCAGCAGCCAGCGTGAGAGGCCAGCAGCCGCAGTGAGCGGCCATCCAGAAGCCGGTGACTGATCTGCCTCACCCGGGAAGAGCGCAATGATGGTGCCAACTTGGGCCAGTGAAGCAACGTCCTCCACAACTAGATTGAAGAACAACAAAACGACAGCAACTTGTCTGTTCCCCTTCCCCCAATTCCCCAGCGCTGTTCCCATCCCCCAATTCCCCAATAAAAATCTTTAAATAAAAAAATTTTTTAAAAAAAAGAAGCTCCTTGGAATGGACCACCTCCTCCAGGATAGGATGCATGTTTCACAGACTTAGAGAGAGAGGAAAATCATTTCTGGGATGGGGAATAATTGTAGAATGCACCCACACTCGGCTTCACAGCTTTGACTTTCAGCTAAATCTGCTATTTGGCTGTCGCTCTGGAAAGCTGAATAGGCAAATGCCTCCTTCAGCATCATTCCTGCCTGCCATCCCTGGTCCCATGCGTGGTCAGTGGTCCTGGGAGTGTGTGATTCTACCACATCTGGTCAGCATCGTGACCTCAGAAAACACATGGCATCTAGACTTACTGCCAATCCCTGAATATTCACTTTAGCTAACAATACAGGCTTGTTACTACATTATAAAGTCAGACTTTTAAAATCTGACTACTGTAACGTTAAATACTGAAATCATGATCATAATTTTAAATTTTGATAATTTTTCAGATTTATTCTATCTTATAAGTTTGTTCTGTGACGGTGATGTTTGGTTTCAGCCTTACATTGATATATTGATTTGTATACTCAACCTTTCAGCCAAAATACGTAATACCTCTAATAATAATTAGCATGCTGTAACTTAATAACATGCTCATTAGCGTCCTTTAAAACACTCGTTTTCATAGGCAACAATGATAAAATGGGAAATGTCAGATTCCTGAATAAACCCAGAGCCCTCATATACTCGTATTATATGTCTACAAAGGATCCAAACCAAAGAGGAACATTTTTGTTTCCCTCCCACATTGGACCTAAGGCCTATGAATCATGGGATTTTACTCCTCTATTGTTCTCTATCACCACTCCCAAAATACAACTTCTTCTTCCTCCCATATTATAACCTCCCATTCTCCCTCACAGTTAGTAAGAATGAAAGAAAAGTCCAAGGGCTCTATTCTGAGGGTGGGTGAAATGTCAGATAACCAAAGGTCCCTTTAGAAATGCAAAGGACATGTATACAGAACTGCAGATAGTAGACAGTGACTCAGAGCTCAGGTGAGTCACCACTACCCACAAAGCCCCTCCTAAAGCAATCAGGCCCCTGACCATCACCAAGTCCCACCACCCCTGGGGAAGCAGCCTGTCCCAGGCAGACAGTTCAGGCAGAGAGTTCTTTCTCCCGGAGCTTTTTGCTGATCTCTAGTCGTGGCTCACAACAAGAACAACAATTCATTACTGAGGTCTGAGCTTTGGTTGAGAACAGAGTTTCAGCTTAGCAGTTTCGGAGGAGAAGACTCCTCTCATTGATCGTTTCCTTCTTTCTTTCCCCAGGAACAAAAGATGAAGATAACATTCCCACCTATCTTTCCCTTTTACCAATTTGCCTTTTCCGGTCATTTTCTGTGTTGGTTAATCAGAATTTTCTGACAGAATTTTTTTTTTCAAGGAAATAGTGGCAAGATAGAATGGCGACAAAAAAGACACAAAATTAACTCAGGCTAGAACCATTTGTAATGTTCTAGTAAGCAGAAGTACCCAGAGGCTGACTTGGCAGCAGTTAGTCTGTTAGGTCTCAGGAAGTCAGGAAGCCCGATAGAGGTAGTTAGGCTGGTCTTCAGACCCTCAGCTTCCCATCCAGGGTGAAACAGCCAACGGCCTAAATACACTTTGTTCAGCAGTTATCAAGGAAAAGTGCTATATGCTTAAGATAAAATGATGACCACACACAGTTTTGGACTACTAATCCATTCTGATGGCTGGAAATATGACACAGGATGTTTTGGAGAAACAATTGGTGACTAGAAGAGGAATGCAATTAAAGGAATGAAATAACCTTATGAAATCCTAATGTGATACATTATAAAACTGGGGGGAAAAAAGAGAAAATAAAGGTTCAAATTAAATAATAAGTTTCGGCTTATAATCCCCTTTTTGGAATTTCTGACATCAAAGAGCTTAGAAGACTTCAACCTGCTTAGCACCAAAAAAAAGACCCAAAAGGCATTATATTTCTCACTTGAAATTTCATCCTTGGGATCTGCTGCAGAATTACCAATAATAGCCAGCCTGGGAGAAGCTTCTCTACCACATCCAAACTTCTCACATTTTCCCAAAAAAAATAATAATATACATCAAAAAAGAATCCATCCTCTGCCATCCCCCTGGGCCCTACATCTGCTTCAGTGCAATATGAAAAAGAATAACTTGAGAGCTCTGATCTGAACACCACAGCAACAGGTCACAGCTAAGCAACAGAATCATGAGCTTCCTCCCTCCATCTTCACACCTCAGAGTTCAGGCCTTGAAGGGCATCCCCAGGTTAACACCTGATGGCTCAGTTCAAGTGGAGCATCTCCTCTAAACAGCTTTCTAATAAAGGAAAGAGTTGGGGTCATAAGCATATCCAGGTAGCACAAGGTCAAGAACCACCAGTCTCACAGCAGACTCATCCCCCATGGAAGGATAAGCTCAAGGAGAAAAGAAGGTGGTGTCTCCCAGATCCCCTCAAACCCCTAACCACAGCTTACCTTGGTACAAGGTGGTTGAACTTGTAAGAACTGAAGACCTCTTGGATCTTTTCTTCCACTTTTGCCTGGTAAGGGTGCAGGAGATGGGAGAGAGAAAACAAATATAGATAAGACCTCTATCAACTTTTTCTTCCTATTGCCACAAACACCTACTGGCTAGAGCAGATTGGTGTGGTTTTGTACTTCATAGCATTAAAGACTGCATTCAGGGATTCTGCAGGAATAACAGGCTTAGACAAGGAGAGAAAGAATGCCCTATGCCATGCTGGCATCAAAATCTACTTCTCCAGGAAACTAATCCATAATATTCAAACTAATAGCAGCTTGGCTCCTGGGCACCAGTTCCTTAGGGAGCAGACGAAGACAGATACATTTTGCTTGAAAGATTTATTCTCACCTGCTCTATGAAGTGGTATAGGTGTTCATTTTACTGGCCATTCTCAAATACACAAGTAATTCCTGACAAGAGTCATACTTCTTATTGTTTAAATACAGATTTAAAAATAAATTGAACAATATTAAAATCCCCTAAGAGATTTACAAGAATATCAATCATAGAAACACCAAAGAAATAGCATATCTAGTCATTGGTACTACGTAATGCGCAGGACTAAAATGAAGGATCTGAGTAAGTCACAAAGGAAATCGGATCACCTGTGTGCTCTGAAGACCACACTATAATGTGGTCACACAGTCCAGCTTCTGTAAGGAAAAGGGACAGGAATGAGGGGGGAGGGGGGTTAACAGGATATGGCGTTTCACCTTCATCCGCATCCCTGATCTTTGTGGTGGGACACGTCCTTGTTGAGATTTCAAGATACCTAATAATGTCCTCTCTGGGAAATTTTTTAAATGTATTATTTGTTTCTGAAACACTCACTGAGTCAGAGCTTCTCAGCCCTTTCACAAGTGTGCAGGAATGATATGTGATGATGAAGGGAGTAGTGATGTGAATCATCTAAAATGGCAGCCAATCTCAAATTCATTTATATTTGGTATTTGCCTTTGAACATGAGCATGAGGGATGATCTGGCTAAGAATGTATAATACTTCAAAACACAGACTGAAGTCACTGTGAGAACCTGTCCCAGGGGGAATAAGAAAGTTGTCCCAGATTCCTCATAATTCTTTTTCCATTCCAGATGCTCACACAGGACTGATATAAGTGCCAGTCTAAATAGAACACGGGCTGCATTTTGCAGTCATGCCTTCCTTAACTGTCAGCCGAAAGGGGTAGAAAAATATACAAAAAACATGTAAGTGAGATCACTAAATAAATATTTGCCAACCATATAATGTTATATAGCTAAGTGAATTGATGAATTCTGAATGAAACAATACCAAGTGGGAAGAAAAGTCACTTCCTTTACTCAAATACAAGCCGACTCAGGGCTGGCCGAGTGGCAAAGTGGTTAAGAACTGGCTTGGGACGCCAGAGGGCCCCGGTTCGGATCCCACATATGAGGGCCAGTGACACTGCCCTCTACAGCTAAGATGCTAAACAACAGCTCAACCTGGAGCTGGGCTTCCGTGATTCGCCTGTGACAGCGTAGGCTGCGGCCCCTGTGGCAGTGGGTTGCCATGGCTACTGTGTGTAGCCAGCAGCCAGCGTGAGAGACCTGTAGCCACAGTGAGCGGCCGTCCAGAAGCCGGCGACTGATCTGCCTCGCCCGGGAAGAGCGCAATGATGGCGCCAACTTGGGCCAGTGAAGCAACGTCCTCCACAACTAGACTGAAGAACAAAAGGACAGCAACTTGTCTGTTCCCCTTCCCCCAATTCCCCAGTGCTGTTCCCATCCTCCAAGTCCCCAATAAAAATCATAAAAAAAAAAACTTGAATCAATCATATAAGATTCCACTTCCAGAAACTAGAAAAATAAGAAAAAACAAACAACAACAAAAAAATACAAGTCGACTCAAATCCACATGACTTAATGTTCAAAGGCTAAAGGGTGAGCCCACCTCCTCCTTAGGATCCTGACACTTAGACCCCTAGAAGGAAAGCTTCCAGCCAAGAATTCCTTAATGAGAAGTCCCACCTTCAGCTCCCACTCAGGCAACATAAGTAGCCAAGTCCTAGATGAGGAAAACGGAGGTTTATTTAGAAACTAAGATACCAGACAGAAATACAAAGGTATGTCATACAGTATTCTGAATATGTTCCTTCTTTAAAATTGGGTTGTCTTTTTATTACTGAATTGTAACAGTACCTTATATCTTCCAGATACAAGTCCCTTATTAAATACATGATTTGCAAAAATTTACTTCCATTCTGTGGGTTGTCTTTAGAAACTGGTGTATTTTTTAATAGAAAAAGATCACCTAAGGGCACGCAGTACAGTTTTTAAGAGTACAACTTTATAAATACTTAGCCTGAATTTTTTTTTGACAAATAGTAAATGGATTAATATAGAAATTACAAAGTACTCATCTGGGGAAGAGAAAATCAAAATAATCCCTAAAACATGCAACATCCTTTTTTGCCTCCCCCTCTTCCCATATAGCTTGCCAGTGATATATAAAATCTGAGTAAATTTGTTACTGGGAAGATGGAAGCATTCTTTGAATGTTCTGATTTGCATAGCAGAAGGAAAGGAAAAAAGCTAGTTATATATAAATATGTTAAGAAAGCAGGCCTGAGACTGCTAGCCTTAGGAAGTCTTGCTTGAAAGGTTGACTGTTGGCTGGTATCTGGGCACCCAGATTTTGGGAGGGTTCCCACCATTCCCAGAACTAATCAGAGTGGCTCACTATGCCTAAACTGTATAAACAATGTGGCTTATACTAAACAGCTACTTTCCTTCCGGGAGTCAGGAATTTTGAGAAGTGCTAGGCCAGCGGTTCTCAACCTATGGGTTACGACCCCTTTGGGGGTTGAACGACCCTTTCACAAGGGTCACCTAAGACCATCGGAAAACAAAAAGATATTTACATTACGATTCATAACAGTAGCAAAATTGTTATAGAGTAGCAACGAAAATAATTTTATGGTTGGGGGTCACCACAACATGAGGAACTGTATTAAGGGGTCGCGGCACTAGGAAGGTTGAGAACCACTGTGCTAGGCAGAGGGTACCTATGTGACCAACCCCCTGTAAAAACTGTGAGCACCAAGTCTCTAACAAGCTTCCCTGGTAGACAATAATTTCCATGTGTTGTCACAATTCACAATTCAATGCTGAAGGAATTAAGCCCATCCTGTGTGATTCCACTAGGAGAGGCATTCTGGGAAACTTATGCTTTGTAGCTTTTTGCTGTAATAAATCAGAAGAGGGAGTACAGTGATATGCTGACTTCTCTGAATCCTTGTATTGAATCACCAAACCTAGCGGTGGTACTAGGAACCCCCAACGCATCAGTCGATTTAGAAATGTAGACTTTGGGACAAAATTAAGGAGTCATAACAATTGTACAATATCTCTAAGTAAGATCTATAATTAAATTCCTTTTTAAAACTTATCAAAATCCTCACTTTATATAAAGGAGAACTGAGGACTATTAAAGAAAAACAAAGCTACCTAAGTCATGAGGCACTCTGAGCACGACTAGCTCAAATGGAACTCAAAAAACAAAAATCAGCTTCAAAACAGGGATACTAAAAGAATGTCCACTTGGGGCAGCTGGTTAAGCTCAGTTGGTTAGAGCGCAGTACTCTTATCAACAAGGTTGCCGGTTTGATCCCCGCATGGGCCACTGTGGGCTATGCCCTCCACAACTAGATTGAAACAATTACTTGACTTTGAGCTAATGGGTCCTGGAAAAACACACTTAAAAAATTAAAAAATTTAAAAAAAGAATGTCCACTTTCCTTGGCTTCTCATTTTATCTTGAATTTCCATCCCAAAGGAATGGACTATTCTATCCTAGTCAGTTTCATCTTTCTGCATGAGAAACCCCATAGGCAAGGCAGTTACCAACAGGGTACAATATTTGTATTGTACTGGGGTCTGATTAATAGCCCCCAAAACAACAGATAACTTTCTTTTGTATAAATCGCAAAGGGCCCCCAAGGCTCAGTTCCTTTGGGCACACGGCACTCAGTTCATGCCATGTTAATGAAATGGATAAGGCTCTTGGGAGGAGGATGACAGCCTAAAGCATCCGATCTGTTTCAGAAACATCGCTAAATGAAATGTTACAAGAAAGGCCACCACGATTAGCCACCAGATTTAATGCCAAGGGATTAGCTCATCAAATTTTTTAAATAGTCTGAAATAAAGAAACTTTGCTTGGTCCAAAACACACACACACAAAGATGTAAAAAGGGTCTTGAGACAATTTGGGGAAATTTAACTGGATATTAGATGATATAGAGTTATTTTTTATTTTCTCAGGTATGATATTATTGTCTTTATATAGAAGAATGTCATTCTTAGCAGATGCATGCTTTATTATTTAGGGGTGAAATATCATATGTCTTCATCTTACTTTCAAAGATTGAGAAAAAAAATTAATCACCTACATATATACACATGAAAACATACATACATACACACACACACACACACACACACACATACACACACGGAAAAATTGTGTCTTGGCTAGATGATCCATTGGATTACCTCCACCTTTGTCCTTGACTAGGCTATTTTACAACTCTGTAGAGGTAGAAGTTAACTCGTAGAAAATTGACAGCAATGCAAATAATTTCTGTCCACAGAAATGCAAATTGAATCTGGTAAATTGTAATTAATGATCACCTTATGGACATTAATCAGCTTTGCATCCATTTATAAATTCATTTCAGCATTCCTTATCTGACTTTAAATGTGTGGTACTTTGAGTTCTCTTCTGAACTAGCTGCAATATCTTACTGGTTCCATGAGTTAAATAAAATCTTCGGCATGTGTTCACTTTATATCTGTATGAGTCATGATTTTATCCTCTTTTAAAATTTATCCTTTAACAGTTTATATGAAGGAGAGAGATTAGGTGGAGGGTAAACAGATGCTGCCAATTTCTCTGTATATTTGAAATGTTTTATAATAAAAAGTTGAAGAAAATTATTAGGAACCAAAACAAAACAAAACACTTAATACTCAGATTGCACCATGATGATTTT